TAGCAGGGTCCATTTCCACCTTCCCCCCAGAGATGCGATAACCCAAAAAGTCAATGCATGTCTTGTGGAATTCACATTTTGACAGCTTTGCAAACAGGTGGTGTTCATAAAGTCGCTTAAGGACCTGGCGCACCAATTTAATATGCGACGGGAGGTCCTGAGAGTACAGCAACACGTCATCAAGGTAAAGGACCACTCCTTTGAACAAGAACTCATGTAGGACCTCATTGATTAGGTTCATGAAGACCCCCGGAGCCCCTTGAAGCCCGAAGGGCATAACGAGGTACTCAAACTGCCCCAAAGGGGTATTAAATGCAGTCTTACTTTCATCCCCCTCCCGAATGCGCACACGGAAATATGCATCTCGGAGGTCAAGTTTCGAGAAGATTTTGCCCTTGGTGGCCTCAGCTACCAAGTCCTTGATTAGCGGGAGGGGGTAGGCATTGGACAAAGAAACAGCGTTCAGACCCCTATAATCAGTGCACAATCTAAGCCCCCCGTCTTTCTTCTTTCGGAAAAGTACAGGCGCGGCGAAAGGGGAGGAAGCCGGGCGAATGAAACCCCGGGCTAGATTTTTATCAATAAAGTTCCGCAGTTCAACTTTCTCAGCCGGCCCCATCGCATAGATTTTACCTTTAGGTAATTTACAGTCAGGCAAAAGTTCAATAGCACAGTCAGTAGAGCGATGGGGGGGCAATTCGTTAGCTTCATCTTCGCCAAACACTTTCGCCAAGTCTCTATACTCTCGAGGCAAAGAAGCTAACTCTTCCGGCTGCAAAGCGCCGCAGGGGAACTGTGCGGTCGGCTGGTCCCCCCACGAGTCCAACCAGCAGTGATCTACACATTTAGCCGACACAAATTTGACAACCCCTTCTTCCCACAAGATGTAAGGGTCATGGGTAAACAACCAGGGACTCCCCAGTACTAAGTCAAACTGCGATTTAGGGGTAACAATGAAGGATCTGGATTCCCAATGATCGCCAGCCCCCAACCGCAAAGCCATAGTCTCGTGTGTACAAGGTTCCATGGGTGCCCCATCCATTTGGGTAAAAATGATGGGAGACTTCAAGGGGACTATCCCCGCTTCCAGTGCCAATAACACTCTAGGGCTGATGAGATCCCTCCCACACCCAGAATCAATCAACGCTCTCACCCTAACGTGGGTCCCCAGGAGCGGATTCATTAACGAGACAGTCACGAAAAACAGGGAAGGGGTTTCTCTCACCACCTTGGGCGCAGAGCTAGAATGGCCGTGTCGTTTTGCGCCTCTCACAACAGGCCGTTGTCGTTTTCCGCCGTTTCAGCCACCACCTCCTCTTCTGACTCGGCAGCAGACGGTTCGATTCCCTCCAGGCCTTGGGCCGCCTGCAGAGCTTTGGAGAAACGCGGTTTAGCCATCCCCTTCTTCCCCGTCAGCGGTGTCTTCGGGCTTGGAGTAGGCGGCTTGTCTTTTACCTGACGGCTGCCACAATCCACAGCGAAATGCCCCTTCTCCCCGCACTTGAGACAGAGCCCCATCTTCATACGTAGTTCTCGTGCCGATTCCGACAGGCGTTGAGTCTTGGGTCTGGAGGCACTGGCAGCGGCGGGTCTGTTGGTCGTAGCAGCCAAGTCGAGTTTGATGGTGGTGAGCCGATCCTCTGCATTTTCAGCTTCCTGGGTCCAGGCCATCAGGGAGACAGGATTGACAGTCTTCAGAACCGTTTCTCGGATGTCTGCGTTGAGTCCCAATCGATACATCTCAGCCAATATATGATCAGGGTAGTCTCGGAGCTTTGCTGCTTGCTTGTGGAATTCCAGAGTGTACTCGCGAACCGACTTCTTGTTCTGGCGGTAGGTGCGGAGAAACGCTTTAGCTCTTTGACTCGCGTTGACATCTTCAAATCTCGCCCGCAGCGCCCACATGAATGCTCGCAAATTCAAAAGTTCCGGACCGCGGTCATTGTGCAGTCCAACATACCATGTGGCGGCGTCTCCTTTTAGTCTTGCCGAGATGACATCAATAAGACCAGCTTCATTTCGGAACAGGTGTCGGCTCTCTTCTACGAATTTATGCACTCTCACCGTGAAGAAAGCGAGTTCATCTGGGTTGCCGTCAAAGGTAGCCTCCAGTAGATCTTTGGGTCTGGGCCATGGAGGCCGTACCAACGGTCCCAGCTGACCCGGAACTCCCCTGAGAGGGAGACCCGGACCAACCGGTGGCCCCGCTGGCATTGGCCTCATCGGCGGCGGCAGACCCGGCAC